AAAATTAAATCACATACTTCTTTTGCATATCGTGCATTCCCTAGCAGCTGGTAAAGCCTGCTGCAACCATTTCAAAGCAGCATTAGGAATGAAATGTTGTAATATCAACAAACACGTATTTCCCTTCGAATTTCATGGATTTGAGAATTATGTATAAGCCGCACGCAAGGCTCGACGATTGCAAAGGGAAGGCATAATTCGTGAACAACAGGTGCTTAAAGCAGGAGGCGTACACCTTTGACAAGGATACANTAAATTAAATCACATACTTCTTTTGCATATCGTGCATTCCCTAGCAGCTGGTAAAGCCTGCTGCAACCATTTCAAAGCAGCATTAGGAATGAAATGTTGTAATATCAACAAACACGTATTTCCCTTCGAATTTCATGGATTTGAGAATTATGTATAAGCCGCACGCAAGGCTCGACGATTGCAAAGGGAAGGCATAATTCGTGAACAACAGGTGCTTAAAGCAGGAGGCGTACACCTTTGACAAGGATACAGGGTGGGAACGCGCAGGCGTTCGCTGGTCTGTTCGACACGAAGTTTCCCTTAAAAAAAATCATCGTAAATCGTAACTTCGATATGGAAGAGTTGTTGAGACCCCATCGATAGACGGGGGCATGACAATATTATCGGCCTGTTGATAGCAGCGGCGAGCGGTCGGCACCGGGTGTTTCTCTATTATTGTGGTCGCTATTATTTCTTTCCCTCTCCGCCTCTTTCACGGTTCTCTTTCAGCGATGGGATCGATCCTATGCCGGCGAACCTCGCGTATCTCGCAAACTGATCTACCAAATGAATCCCGAACGAACCCTAAAAATCTTTCGTAAATTACTGTACAAGATCCTCCGATCTTCACAGGATCATCTTTGCAGAATATCTACCCTTCGAAACGGAGTACAGACGCAACCGCCCGGAAAGCTAGCTAATGTTCCGATCCAATCGCGAACGAGCCTTATAAACATCGGTCTAGAGTCGTTGTATAAGTTCGACTATTGCTCTTGCAAGAATTCGCTGCTGCAACGTAATTCGAGAACGGCGCGCCAGTGCAGTTTCGTGCCACTGCAATCGCAACGCGTTGCGACGTCGGGTGCAGAGGATCGCGGATGGAACGTTCGTTTTCAAGGTCCCGGTATCACGAGGGTATTGGTCCCATCGCTATTCGCATCCCTCGTCGCCTGGCACCCGGCATGTGCGCGGTGCAATCGATTCCGAAGTCAACGCATGCCCTCCGCCTCGTTCGACGCTGGAGAAGATAGTCAGTCGGTGGCACTGTTGCGACAGGGCTGGACGTGCACCGTGGGAAATGATCTAAGGGATCCCGTCCGCGACGAGCCAGCGAGCAGATCCGTATTTCAAGCAACCGCAGACAGGGTACATCGTGGCCAGAATGTATTAAGATTGAGGAATTCGCGACCTGTCACGCCCAGGTACGTATCATCCCCCAAAGTGTCGCGTTGGTCAAGTGGCGCTGCTCAGCGCGTCACGCAGGTTGTTAAAACAGGGTGAGATAGATAGAGAGCGAGAGCGAGAGAGAGAGAGAGAGAGAGGTGGTGAGAGAGAGAAAGAGAGAGAGAGAGGGTGACAGAGAGAGACAGTGACAGAGAGAGAGGGTAAGAGAGAGAGAGAGAGAGAGGGTGTGAGAGAGAGAGATGGTGAGAGAAAGAGAGAGAGAGAGAGAGAGAGGGTGATGGAGAAAGAGAGTGTGTGTGAGAGAGAGAGAGAGGGACGAGGGGGTGGGGGAGAAAGAGAGACAGAGAACGTGACTACAACCTGATGCTTCGAGACTGTGTAATCGTACACCCGTTCCATACGTTTTCACCCGGAATCATTCAATTACTGCTGACTTTGTTTCCCTCTTTGCCTGGTCGCCGTGAGTTATTTTATCGTTTCAATTGATTTTAACGGGTACCGAGCGGGATTGTTTGCCAGAGATAGGACGGGGTGGTTCGTAGAAATAACGAGGTTTCTCCGATTGCGGAGGCTAGGTTAGTTGTTTAGGGGATGATGCATCAGACGCCAGATTGTTGCGGTTATTCGGTGCGCTTTGTCGCGTGTTTCTGTCGTACGCTAGCTCAGACATCGGAATTGCGTAAATCCGGCGGCTTATATTGTTACGCAAAGCCGTGTCCTTCGCGTACCGCACCCTTCTATCTGACCAGTACACCCCGCGCGTACGGGATTGATCGAATTATTGTATTAATTAGTCCGGGGATTATCGATGCGCCGTGTCTTTGAGAGCTGAATGAATTGATTGAGTATCGAGATTAACGAGTATCGCTATTAACGACTCTGCGGCACCGATCTTTCGACTCTGCGGCGAAACAGCTTTGCGCTCGTTAACTCGTACCGGTTCGTATGGTGCTTTATTCAGAGTTTCTTTAAGCAAGCGCCTACACGAACAGGCTCGAGCACTTTAAACGCTACGCAAGCCGATCTGTTTCGTTCTAGACGCGAGATGAAACGAAGATCCTCGAGTCGGTACTGACGTGGAAAATTCCGGGTTCGAGCTGCACGGTACAACAGAGAATAAAACAGATCGCGGATGTCTGCGTACACCGATTTGCATCGCGGAGTCTTCGGAACTCGGGAGAACAGAACAACAGAATATCTGAAACTGCTTCGAAAAGAATTTTTTAAAGGGGGAAAGTCGAACTTCGGTGTTCGGAGGGCTTCGGAATGATCAACGCTTCCATAAGGAATTCATGATCGTTTTCGCTCGAATCTGTTCTTTCTGGTGAAAAGTAATGAAGCAAGATTCGAATAATGAAGCGCACCTGCCGCAGATTTATTTGCAAAGTAATTTACGGGAGTTTCCGAAGTGTTAAAATGACGGCACTGATCCCCGGAGTTGCTTCATCGGGCACTTATGTAACTGTATTCAACAAGTTGTCTGAATCTGATTACGAGAACGCGAAGGGAGTTGCATTTGCAGATAATCAATTACCGTCGTTAACGATGTTCTCCGATAATCGGATTGAACATTTTTTCTTATTGTCGAGTAAAATGAACTTAACGTTGGTTAACAAATTTCTCGTTATACTATCGTATAACGTAGAACCGAACACGAACGCCCGATTATAATCTGTTCTTTTCTTTTTTCCGACAATATCGCACGAGCCTTTTTTTATTATGTTCCCATTTGCCGGGTGGCGCGTTTCACACCGAAACGGGGTGTCAGGCGATAGGTGGGAAGGGAAAGAGCAGATTGGCATTATCCCGTTGCTTTATCGACGCAGACCGTAAATTAGATGCACACTTCTAGAAACATCTATGGGCCGTAAACGGTGGTGGCGAGGAGGCTCGGAGCTGATGGTGCTCTTTATCTTCCATCACGTTATTCTGGGCGACGGTAATGTCGGTGAGTACGATTCACCATCGTTCCAACGGCGCGAATAAAGAACCTCTCTCGGTCGCGGATCGAGGAGGACCCTCGGAATTGCTTTACGGATCCTCGAACGTACTCGGAATCAGCAGTAAAATGCCGAAGATTCCTACGCCTCTTTCCGCTACCCGCCAGTCAACATTTGCTTTCCAAAAAATCAATATGCCCGTGTTGCCCGGCAGAAGTGAAATTTGTTTACGGCAGAGAACAGGCTTCGCTCTCGCGATTTTTCCGATGATAATACGATCGCGCGAACAAAGCGATTTCCAATGAGAGCCGCAGAGCACCGAAGCCGAGGCACTTTTGTTTAAGAGAACTTCGGGATACATTTCCGGAGCGAGATCGCGACGAAGAATACGAAGAGAACTCGAAGAACAGCTCTCTGTGAATTAAACGGGTTCGGAAAAGTAAACCGGATAAATGAAATTTCTCCCCGTTGATATTTCATGCTCGCTGGAGCCGTTGCGCGGGGATACGCTTTCACTCCCCCCGTGATCAATGCCTTCATGAACCTTTCATTTTTCCGGTCAGCACGTTCTCACCATCCCCCTGTTTCCGCGACGCTGAAAAACGTTTCCGTTGATGAGAAATTTCCGGCGGACGACCGAATACATGCCCCGAAAACGGCACGTGTAATTCCCGGGGTGATCGATACCGGGCAAGAAGCTCGAGAAAATCGACCGCATTTTCCGTGAAATCGGCGGGACTCCGTCTGAACGAACTGCTTCGAGAAGGGGCGCTGTTTTCGCTAATTAAAGTTACTATCTCGGTGAACTTTAATTGAAAGAGAGATTACTATGAAGATCCGATGAGAGTTCTACGCGAACTCGGCGCGCTGCCGAATATTTTCTTCGAATAATCCCGCGCCGCGTGCGACGTTCATTTCTAAAGCGATATCGTTACGTTTTATCAACGAACGCACCCCGAAAACTTCCGGTTAAAAATCGAACAATTACAGTGTGTCCGCTATGTCGCGCTTTAACCCCTTAATGCACAGTTTTTTTGAAAAAGACCGGCCAAAAAAATCAATTTTTTTTTCATGTAAAAAGACACAATTTAGAACGTTGTCTTGGCAAGAAAATGACAAAAATACAAAAATAATCAAAATTTTTATTGCAATTCTAATTTTCAGAATATTACTATTATTATTATTGTTATTATTATTATTATTGTTATTATTATTGTCATTATTATTGTTGTTATTATTATTATTGTTATTATTGTTATTATTATATTTTATTTTACATTATATTTTAGTAAAATATATATTGAAAAATGAGCGAATCAGAATCTGAATATGAATACGCTGTCGGAAAGCGGCTCACAAGGAAGAGATAAGTCGTAAGTGACAAGTATAGAAAAAAAGGATATATTTTATACTTGAATAAGTAAGTGTTATAGCTTATACAATCCCATGTAAATGATAAATATGAATAAAACGATTGTGTTTATTTTTGCTTTCACATTGTTATTTTCAATTCTCGATTGCATTCGAGTGTGCAAAATTATAGCAACATAAAGTACAACGCCGCTCGAATTATCTCGAGTGTGCACAGTTTGGCCAGTTTAGCGCGCTCGAGTTAACTCGAGCGTGCACGTTAAGGGGTTAACCGGTTCCCAGTAATTGTATCGATTATCGGAAAGAGAGCTTCGTGTAAAAGTGCAATCGAAGACTCGAACTTTACCCTATATTGCGCATCCTTTTCGAACAATCCGGTGCGTACGATCGTTATTTTTAAAGCGATATCTTTAGCGGACAGAGACAAGCAACCTGTTATCAATGAATGTGCCGTGCAAAACTTCCGGTTAAAAATAGCGGTAGTCTTGCTACGACGATCCGTAGGCGGTTTCAACTTCGGCATTATCTTGTGTTTGCAAAAGGGGACTCGCGAAACCGAGCTCGTTCCGCTTCGCGAAACCGAGCTCGTTCCGCTTCGCGAGCAGAGCTCGCTGGAAGAATTGGTCGCGAGTTGACCGATCCGCCGTGTGCGTGAGGAACGCAATTATCGATTAACACATTCGAAGAAGTGGTAGTAGGAGTAAAAGTAAACTCGGCCTGGCCCCGGTAAATTTTCTCCGGGTGGATCGATCTAAACGCACCTAACCGAAACATGCAATATTTATCCTATCGAAAGGGTTCCCCTTGTTGATCTCTAAATAAGATCAAACCGGAAACTTCGAGTTCCCGAACTTCTGACGAGAAACTCGATGAAAATAGGGCTGACAATGATGTATTACATTTTCAAGGCCGACCAGCGAGACACAATTCGAGACACTCTTCCTCGTTGTAGTAATAACTAAAATCGTATAAATACGTAAAAATATAAAAGGTGAAACCCGCGTTACAACATCGTCGATTTATCGGTTCGACCCTGTTGAAAATTGCATACGTCATCATTGCAATTAACCGATTGCAGTACGTTTTCGAGTCGCGTAAGATCGGCGAAACGATCGCCGCTGTGCACGTTGCTCGCGCGGAACAATGGTTCTCCCGATGTTCTCTCCGCTTCCCTATCACGGTGGATGTGTCCATTGAAAATTTCGGGTCGCTATCGATTCACTTTGACCCTCGTGTATTGCGTTGCACGTGGAGCAAAATGCTTTTCCATTCTATCGATATTCTTCGCCGCGTCGCCGACGGCTTTACTCAGAGTGCCGGATCGCATACAATAAAAATTTGACGTGACCGCCTCTCAGGCAGCGTTGCTTTTACAGCTGAACTAAAAGTTTTTAAAATGCAAAGAGTGCTTTATAAGAAAACGCAGAGTTCGATCGAAACAGTTAGTGCAGACCGTTGCGTTAATTAGATGCCATTTTCTGCGTCGGTGAATTCAGAAAGGTTTCGAAGCACGAGCTTCGAACATGTTGGATCTGTTTGGACTTGTCCGACGACTTCGATAAATAATTGACGCACGAATCTGCGAACAATGAAAGCCCGAGGTTCGAAGATCTCGTGGCTGGAATGGGCGATCTGTGCCGGCCTTGAAAATTTGAGGTTCCTCGGTGGGAAACGGGACGACACACGATTCGTTTGATCACCGCCCACGCGTTTCATCGAGCTGTACATCCCACGCGACCACCGCCTTTGCGAAACCCGGCTCGGATCCTCCCTTCTGCCCGGGATCTCTCAATCCACCCACTCAGTTTTCCTTCTTGAGGATCCCTTGTCGTCGATTCTCCTCCTGATCCCGCTTTTCTTCTTCCCTCGGCACTCCAAGATTTCTTCTTGCCTCGTCGCGTTCGCTCGCTCCGCAAACGAAGCTGTTCGTTGGACCTTTAACAAGTGGAACAATTACAATCGAAACACCGCGATACAATAAATTTATTCACCGAGTAACAGCTTTCACGGTGTTCGAGTATATACGTATTATTCCTCGCATTGTCTGCTGTTCGCAACTTTTTCTTTAAAACACGTTCCGAATATGATCTTTATTTTTTTATTCTATATTGCGGTTTTGAAAGCGCTCGGACGTCCGCTTCGTACGCCTCCGCTAGAACGTCACTTTCCTAGCGTGCCTGACCATCACGTGCCATTTTCATTTGCTGTAATATTTATGAACGTGGGCGGCGGAATGGCGAAACTCGATCCCCGGTAAAATAATTTCATGTAAATTGAAAGTTACAACAACGGCCTGGTGTCTGTTTCAATTTTAAGCAGAGACAGCCCTGTTGTGGCCGGACGCCGGGGCATTTTATCGCTGCGTTAAAATCCGCGCGCGTTCTCTTTATTTTTTTCGAATAATTCCGCTCTCTGCGGCGCGCCGTCAAAACAAGTTGTCTCTTGAAAAACTGTTTACGTAATGTCGCGCGTCTCTCGCGAGAAAATGTACGAAATACGGCAACCAGAAAATTGAAAATGTAGGAAACGAGTGTCTTTCGAACGGGGTGGGTGAAAGGGGATGATAAAAGGCAACTGGAGGCGAACGATGCTGAAGAAGAAAAGGTGTTCATGGAGATTGAAAGTTCTCCAGACATACATATATGTCTACGCTGACTGCAAAAACGTTCATTCCGTGCGATCGCACGGCGACATTTTCAGTAACGTTCTCCTCCGCGCAGCGAAGGTTAGGGGAAATGGAACACCGGCTGCCAATTACAGCATCTCAAGAGTAACGAGATTTTATCAGAAGAGGAAATTACAGATTCGTTTCCACGTAAAATGATTTTGCGCGGCTCTGTGAGATGTAAATGTCGCGCCGTGCTTCGCCCGCTGCGCGGATAAACGTTTGTAAACACTTTCCGCGAGCGCCTTCCTCGTTGTTTCCACTTGGAAACTTGTAAAAAAAAAAAAAAATGATAATTCAACCTTTGCCATTTCACAACGGAATGAATAATGTAAAGACAAAATAAAAGGATATTTCTGGTAACTGCTGGAGACGATTACACGCCGTCGCGGTTGAACCTGTTTTAAATAAACGCATAAAGGCCCGCAGTACAATTATTATGCCTTTAATTACATGGCGTGACGTGGCGGTATTACGGCGGAAGCGTTATCAGCGTATCGACCGAGATATAGTGCCCTAAAGTTTCCGTTTTCCAAGTCCCTGTATTATTATTGTTCCGAGTTCTTCGAGGATCAAACGTTGCTGCGAAATGAAAGAGAGCCATCGGACCGCTCGCCACTCTAATTAGTCGGACATATCGTAGAACCACGGCAAACATAGCGCGCGGCACACATCCAGCCCGGATGATTATGACGCAGGAGTTTACGTCAATCCGTCGGGAACAAAAGAAACGCCGAGCATTCTTGCCCGAGCGCGATTTCATCCCCAATCCGATAAAAGCGAAAGCATGAAATCAATCAAATCCTAGAAGCCTGTCTTTTTTCCAATTTCAACCAGAACCAATTCGACGCCCTCGACTCGCGCGAACGATTGTTCCTCGTTCGAAATAATTGGATGACAGGTTTTAACGAAGAAATATGTTTCAGGCTGCCTTTTCAGCAAAAGCCTCTGCAACCCCCGAACGGAAACCTGTTACAACGGTAACTGTTCTCGCTTATCTCTTAACACTTTGCGAAGCGTTCGTTTGGCAAATTGTTAATCGACGCTGGTTTATGAAAAAACTGGTGGAATGATCTCGTGATTTCAGATTTGGCATTCGGCAAGTGTCTACCATTGTACGCTGACCTGAACGAGGACGACTATTATCAGTGAGTGTTCGTTTACGTTCAATGACATGCACGCGCAAAGGGGAAACAGTACTTTTTAATCAAACAGGTGTCCCGTTTGTTTGTTCATTAAATTCGACGGCTTTAGAGGTGAAAGAGCATGAAAAAAGGTTTATAATTGACTCGCTCGTTGCGACCAACCCTCGTTTAGTTTTAGTGTCCGAGTATAAAACGGTCTTACTACTTGAGCTCTCGCTACACGACCAGAAAGTATTAAAGTTCCATGTCTCGAAGTGGGTCGTTTCCTTATGTATACGATTCCGAAATAGAACTACTTTATCAGCGGCATTGTTCGTTTCTGTTTCGAAACAGATACGACTTCAATATAGACGAGCTCGAGCTGCTAAGGCTGCAATTAGAGAGGCTGCAGATCGACGGCTACAAATGGTCACACCCGTACACACAATGCATCATGGTGACGTCTTTGTACAATTTGCGTTACGGGTACGATGCAATCCTTTTATCGAAAAATGTACATCGGACAAATGGTCGCGAAAAGTTTCTTCGAAACATTTATAAGATTCAGAACACACTGTATCAATATAATAGGGGGGCCGAAAAGTTATGTCGTTTGTTTACATTAAATTCAAACAGATATTTATCTGTTAAAAATTTTTTTAACTAGTTTTTATTTTCAATCAATGATGTAATCACCCTCATTATCAACAACCTTTTTTCATTTAGTATGCAAATTTTTAGTGTGCAAAAATTAGTATGCAAAAAAAAAAGAAATACTGACATGCGCAGAAGAGACATTACTTTCCGGTCCCCCTAATATTTAAATCGTCTACGAGTATTCCGTTTTTTTTTCTTTTTTTAGAAAAAATTACGACTTAGGACTGTGTCAGCGTCTGAAACAAGTCACGGACTTCGAGGATGACAATGTGATTGACCATAGAGTGAGTTTGTAAATTAGACTAACACGACGGCACCTGATACAGAAATGTTTCTCTGATTGATAATCACCAATTTCGATTCCAAAGGTACCCACGATAGCCATTGTAAAGTTTACGCCGAACAACGGCAATTCCGTAACCCAGTACGGTAATGAGTTATACTATCCCCCGGGAACTCGTGAACAGTATACTCGAGGTACTCTCTATAACAAAGAATTCACGCAACCATCGTACAAAGAACAGATGAAAAATTTTCCGAGGATACACGAATTAAGGTACGCTCAAAGCCCGTACAAGGAATACGAGCCCTTAATCAACGAGGAGAACTACGACGACCATGAAGACGCGGTCCGAAAGAAAAGCTTCGAAAGAATTAACGAAAGGTTGTATCGGACCAGAAGGCAACCGTACAACATGAGGAATTACGATGACGACGCTATCAAATCCATAAAGTATGCTCTGGGCGAAGAGGTGAAGACTGATTACCCTAGACAGGAAGACATGAGCACCGACGACGCCCTACCGATCGAGGAATGGGGATTTTTAATCAACAAATCTCCTGACGATTATTACAATAAAAAGGAACCGGACGCCGATGTCGATGTCGAGTATGAGAAGGCTTTCTCTAAGAAGTACAAGCATCCTAGGAAGTTCGCACGTTTCTCGGATAAAGACGAGTTTCTGTTGGAAAATGTGAAACGCAATTCGAACAATGATTACAATAGCGACGATTACGAAGACATTAATGGAGAGATCGAGCTACCGGACGCACCTTCTTTGGAGAACGTCATGTACACTGAGGGAGGCGTTGTGCAGCCTGCCAATGATAAATCTGATTCCGATGCGGACGGTAAAGTTTTAAACGATTTGAGGAGTTCCGAGGTGTGAAATTACTTTTGAACAATTTTTTTGCAGAAAATGCATACGACACTCTGTTCGACAATGACCTGAACGAGATTCTCTGGAGACAAGAATTGGCTGGCTTTAAGAGGAGGGAACGATTGGATGTGAAGAAACCGGGGCCTCCTTTCTCGACCAACAACTATGCATTCAAAAATCAATTACAATCGAGCAAGTGTCTTCTATAACATTTCGATAGAATGTGCTAACTTCTGACTCGTATATTTATTTCCAGGCGAGGAAAAGGAGAATCATTCCGATTCGAGCGAAACAGAACAAGATGTGAGTAGCAATTCAACTCTTCTTCAAATATTGCTGCAACATTGAAATGCAAGTGGTAATCAACTTAATGTTACAGAATGAAGAGTTACTCGCACCCTTCGTGAAGAAAGAAGTAGGAAACGGTCAACCGGACGAGACATCGACAAAATCCTATCGCAACGTTGATCTAGATCATGTTTATATCGAGTTCCAACAACCCTTTCACACGTGGCAAGAAGCTGAACATGTAGTCAAGGAGGTACCGCTTGAACTTCTTAATTCTATAACCAACATCTCTATAGAGATATGATTGAAACAATTGTTGAATCTCCAGGTGGGTAAGCTGCTGGAACTGGCGCCAGGAACGCTGAAGGATATCCGAGTTGGTCGTGCGGAAGTGACGTTTAAAGTCGTGAAAAATAATAAAAATTACAATGCTACCGATGTCGCTCTTAAAATAGGTATTCTCATTACAAAGAAGAGTCGTGAAATGTATTAATTAATTACATTGTAATTCTAGATAATATTCGGGGCAAGCTAAAGGAGTCCCTACGTGTTGAGGTGATCCGTGCAGGCATAGGTGACAAGGTTCATCTTAAAGCAAATTTCCATTAAACTAATATTTATTAATATTTAAACACTTCGATACATAAAATTTCATCAGAAATAACGGACATGAATTGTTTGTAGACTAAACTCCCTGCGATGCTAGAAGTAGCTAGAGCACCTGAGATGAATTCAAGCGTGTTCGGTGCACTTGTGGCTGCAGGGGTTGGAGCTGCCGCTGCAGCTGCAATGGTTACATTGCTAATCGCTCGTGGCCTTGCTAAATCTCGTGCTAAACTGGCAGGATTAGATACCCCTGATCCAGAAGCGTCGAAGGATTATCAGGATTTATGCAGAGCTCGAATGCAGGCAAAGCTGCCTACTGATAAACCGGAGTCACCCCGCGTCGCTAAAATGACCCGCGAAAGCGAATCCAATAATTTACCATCGAATCGGTCTAGTACATCTTCATGGGGCGATGAGCCGACAACTTCTAACATGGACATATCGACTGGACAAATGGTTCTTGTAAGCTGACGCTACGAACTGGCAAATTCTAGCGATAGCTACTAATATGTGTATTCTGGTTCGATTCGTTGGAGAGGTATTAATTTTCTACGCTTTTCCAGAGCTATATGGAGGATCACCTGAAGAACAGAGATCGTTTAGATCAAGAATGGGTAGCGTTGATGGCTTACGTTGCTGATCCTTGCTCAAGCGAGGTTGCTCAGAGCGAAGCAAATGTGAAATGCAATCGTCCTGGTGGACCATTCCCTTACGATCACTCTAGAGTGATATTAAACGATCTCGCTAACGCCAACAATTCTGACTATATAAACGCCTCCACAATTGTAAGTACCTCCCTTGCCCGATGGTCAGAATTTCTTGAGGGAAACGCTGGCTTAGAATACATTACATCATAGTGTATACATAATAATTTTATACGTCGTTTCTACCATAACGGAACCAAAAAATAGAAATCGGTAAGTCACGCGACAAGCATGTAGTTTGATGATGCGGCAATGCTTTCCACAAAAACGCTTTTGGTAGACATTCTTGCATTGCTGCAACATTGTGAATTGAGGCATGGCGAAGTACACAATGCTTGGACGATTCTTGCCAGAGTGACTATAGGTCAACAAGCAAGATGTGTACTCACCGAAAATATGGAATATGCATAAAATGTGGATTTAAATGACAGAAATATATCTAAAAATATTGTTCTGTAATAAAAACTATTGAGTTTACTGAAGGATTTACGTCCACATTTTATTGATAAAAGGTATACACAACGCGTGCACCATTGTATATGCAACAGCTCTTTGCCTAAACATCAATAGTAAAGATCTCCGAATTCACTGTGCAAACATTAGACTACCCGCATAATAGGAAGATTCCCAAGCAATGTACAAGAATGCTTTCAGACGGACCAAATAACTAGCTTTTTCAATTATCGGTAATTATTGTAATAACAATGACTTGAGGTCCTATGAAATTTCCAGACGGATCATGATCCAAGGAATCCAGCTTATATTGCCACGCAAGGTCCTCTACCACATACGGCAGCAGATTTCTGGCAACTTATTTGGGAACAAGGCAGTGTTGTAATAGTGATGCTAACCAGACTAACTGAAGAAGGAGTAGCCATGTGTCATCGATACTGGCCAGAGGAAGGATCAGAGTTATATCACATATACGAAGTACACCTTGTGTCCGAACATCCTTGGTGCGATGATTATCTGGTGCGCTCATTCTACCTGAAAAACTTGCGCACTGGTGAGACTCGAACTGTTACACAATTCCAATTCTTGTCTTGGCCCGAAAATGGCGTCCCATACTCTACCAAGGCTCTCCTTGAATTCCGTCGGTGAGTACCTAAAATATACAAAAAAAAATATAAATATAAATAACACTGTTGTATACATTACAGAAAAATCAACAAGTCGTACAAAGGCAGATCTTGCCCCGTAGTCGTACACTGCAGGTAAGCGATCTTGTTAAATATTAAGTCATTCCATAGATAGAAAACTAATTATGTTGGGTGCTACTAAAGGAGTTTTTAAATTGTCCTCTATTTTATCTGTACTGTGTCTCATTAACTCACAGTGATGGTGTTGGTCGTACCGGTACCTATTGTTTGATCGACATGGTTTTAAACCGGATGATGAAAGGAGCTAAGGAAATCGACATTGCAGCTACTCTAGAACATATTAGAGACCAAAGACCCGATATGGTTGCAACAAAACAACAATTCGAATTTGTTCTCATGGCCGTGGCAGAAGAAGTACATGCTATTCTTAAGGCTTTACCCGCACTTCCTGCCGAAAAGTCTCCTCCTGCAGGAAACAATACTTCCATGAAGGAGAGTCAATGAGATTTGAACACGAGATCCTGAAATTGCAGCCGCGGCGAGCAAAGGCAAAGTATTAATTACAATCTATATCAAAAGAAAAAAAAATGGCCAAACATTTTTAGTCAATCATCTAAGAGTCTAGAATCACTGTTAATCTTTCATTTTTGTAAGTTACTTCTGTGAGATGCTTCTAACACATTGTAAATTAAAATTTACAAGTCCCCAAACAAGTATTCGTTGAAAGATCATAAAACATTGATGATTATAAATTTAATTTAAAGATTTTGTTGATTATATAAGGTGATGATAATGATACGTACAAACTATATGGCCGTACAGATACTTCAGGGAGCAGTGTCAATCTGTAAAATTTCTTGTGAATCTCATTTTACTACGGCCTACTTGGACATTTTAAGTACAAGCATATGGATTCGAAAGACTGAGCTATGCAGCTGGAATTCTAAATATTGGCTAATGATGGAATCATTTGTACTATGTATTCTTGTAAGATTGTCTCTACAGATGATTCTTGTAGTGAAATCCTAAATCGAATTTTCAAATCATTTTTTTATAAACACAAATGCTTATAGCACATTATGTAGCTCAGTCTTTACATACTTTATTTTGTTCTTGATCTCGACATCAATATTATTTAAGTGAAAGTTATATTGCTTCCTCTCATAGACGACTTCACTAACGTGCTTTACAATAGCTTTAAACAGAGTATTGAAATATATTGCAAAGTAATTAACATTACATAGTTCTATCTGCTCAGTCAATTCTATCAAGCATACAGGGCGTGAAAGTTCGTATTCGTTAAGTTTTGTCCTACTGAGGTTCGACACGTATTTATTTCATTAAGAAGATTTATTCCTTACTGTAAAATTTAATTAAAAACACTTGTTCACGACTTTTTAGTTCGAGAAGTGAGTACTGAGAACAAAGTTTTAGAGATTGAAGCCAGAATTTTTATACTATTGTTAAATATTCGAATATTTACCGTTATATGTAAAGAAAGACAAACATTAAACACTATTTATCAATCTGTTTTCTACGCGTACGAGAACGAACGATCGAGCTGCACAATATTCATGGAAGATTATTATTAAGTGCTTATCATATCAACAAAAAATTATAAGAAAAATATTTTATCGGTGTGAAATATGAATCAATGTACGACCACGTAAAGTAACATTAATGTATTAAATGTCATGTGGAAATGTCGAACAGGCTCATGGAATGAAATGTTTAATCATTGTATCGTGATGATAATGTTTAAGTGGTATGTAAAAGAAAATTATAAACATACATGTTTGCACGAATTGTCGTGTCGATATAACAGGTTGTAAATGATAATGCTACACTTGCTTTAAAAAGATCGTGGCCTTGTTGATCCTGCAGATCCAGCCTCCCACAGGGTGAACAGGCTACCTTGAAGGTTCCTTCCTTCTCGTTGTGCAGTACGATTACTGTCAATTAATATTTTTTTCTTTGTGTTATACGTTATGGCGTTACTCTTTATTTTTATAAAACGAGGAATTACGAAATTATAAAAATTCCTATTGATAAAACAAACGATGAATTAAATTTAAAGCAATTGGCTACAGCAAAAAAAGGATTCGAAACAAGATACTGTAGAATACCTTCATTTCAATACCGCTTCCAATTTTAATAATTCGACAAATCAAACGTGAAAGTTTTTAATTGTTCTTTACTTTGGAACGTTCTCCACTTTGTATAAATTAACTCAGTACACTGTGAACGCGATGCGAAAGTTTGCTTGACCAAAAGATAAATAAGTTTCGTTAAACTTTTTTTAGCACAGATTCATATAACAGATTCTATATTTTTATGCAGAGGATAAGTCTATATAAAACGAAATAATATAGTTATATAAATCTATACTATGTTACTCAAAATGTAATACTATATGTGTTATAATATAATAAATCACTCTATGTTCAAATCAACACTACGCATAACGTGTGTACAATTATTTTATGGAGTTTATTTTTTCCCTTATGTAAACCTTACACATTTATAAAAACATTTTGGAAATCTATAATTTGTAAATATATACTATACGTAGCACAGATTAACGATAAATATTATGAATATAAAGAGTTACAAAAATACTGCTTATATATTTGGACATTACTTATGATATGGCACTGTTTGTATCATACAATGCATCCTAATATATTTTCAGTCATTTTCGATACTGGACGCGTACGGTTCAGGAAACAGAGGATACCAAAATCCTAGAAATAAGTAATATTTTCAAAGACTTGTTGCATTTAACTTTATCAACAAAATTAGAAGTAATTATGTTACCTTCAGGAGATCTTGGTTTCTCTTTATTAATCCTATGACGAGAGCATTGCTTTTGCCTAGTTTTCATTTCTTCCTTAGAGAGTCCAAGGTTACCATAATACTAAACATAACAACAAACAAATTGCTTAAATTTTTTATTAAATACAATAGCCTGAATTACCTTGCATATAATAACTATAATAGATAAAAATCATAGAATAACGATAACTTACTCTTCAATGCATACATGTAGCAATAACAAACATTTAAATTCCTTACTATTTACGAAAATTGTATTATAGATATAATAAAAGCTATAGATATATTTGATACCTTTTCACATTCCCAACAAGTGGAACCAGCCATCTTTGCTCTTTCTGCTTTATTTCTTGTTTTATCAATAAGTACATTCTCTTTCTTAGATGCCCTGCAAAATGTAATTGTATTAGATAATTTTAGTAATAATAAATAGTTTATAAAAGATACTTACACATCAAAATTATTCATAAGATTCTTCTTCATGGATGGTGAGTCGTGAGACATATTTTTTGGCATATTGAAATTACTAATTTTTGTGTTATCAACTTTGGAAGTTGATTTCTCTTTAAGTCTTTCACCCAAGAGATCAAATGTTTCATCATTACATGAGAGATTGGAGTTGCAGGTTTCTTCAACCAATTTCGACAATTTTCTTTTTTGTGCTTGGCTTCCATTACTAGTATCAATTTTTTCAGTTTCTTCTTTTGATATGTTATTAACCATACGTTTTGTATCATTTTTCTCAGTTTTCTCTTTAGGTCTTTCACCCAAGAGATAAAATGTTTCATCATTACATGAGTGATTAGAGTTGCAGGTTTCTTCAACCAATTTCGACAATTTTCTTTTTTGTGCTTGGCTTCCATTACTAGTATCAATTTTTTCAGTTTCTTCTTTTGATATGTTATTAACCATACGTTTTGTATCATTTTTCTCAGTTTTCTCTTTAGGTCTTTCACCCAAGAGATAAAATGTTTCATCATTACATGAGTGATTAGAGTTGCAGGTTTCTTCAACCAATTTCGACAATTTTCTTTTTTGTGCTTGGCTTCCATTACTAGTATCAATTTTTTCAGTTTCTTCTTTTGATATGTTATTAACCATACGTTTTGTATCATTTTTCTCAGTTTTCTCTTTAGGTCTTTCACCCAAGAGATAAAATGTTTCATCATTACATGAGTGATTAGAGTTGCAGGTTTCTTCAACCAATTTCGACAATTTTCTTTTTTGTGCTTGGCTTCCATTACTAGTATCAATTTTTTCAGTTTCTTCTTTTGATATGTTATTAACCATACGTTTTGTATCATTTTTCTCAGTTTTCTCTTTAGGTCTTTCACCCAAGAGATAAAATGTTTCATCATTACATGAGTGATTAGAGTTGCAGGTTTCTTCAACCAATTTCGACAATTTTCTTTTTTGTGCTTGGCTTCCATTACTAGTATCAATTTTTTCAGTTTCTTCTTTTGATATGTTATTAACCATACGTTTTGTATCATTTTTCTCAGTTTTCTCTTTAGGTCTTTCACCCAAGAGATAAAATGTTTCATCATTACATGAGAGATTGGAGTTACAGGCTTCTTCAACCAATTTCGACAACTTTTTCTTCTGTGCTTGAAATTCATTACTAGCATCAATTTTCTCAGTTTCTTCTTTTGGTATGTTATTAACCATACGTTTTGTATCAATTTTCTCTGTTTCTTCTTCTGGTATGTTGTTAACTATGCGTTCTGTATCAACAAGCGACAGAGATGGTAAAATTTCGTAACTGTTTCTAATGCCCTTGTTGTCCGAGATACTAAATGATTTTAATTCTTTTTTCGAATATAGTTCTTTACTTTGTGTAGATGTATCTACAGGTAAACATTGACTGAGGTTAGCATAACTAATTTTAGTATCGCTAAATAAATTAATCTTTATACTAATATCGTCTCTAAATTTTCCACTACTATTTTTTTTCAGTTTCAAGCTTTGTATTTTCAATTTCGATTTCTTACGTTTAGTGGGACTATCTTCAATTATTTCTTCATCTACTGTTTCATTGGAGCCAGTACCCTTTGAGTTTTGCTGTAGATTTTTTGTGGATGTAAGAAATTCAGGTTGTATCAATTTGTTTAATTTCTTACGTTTCTTTGCATCCATGATCATTTTGCTTTCTTCAGATGGAACGAATGCGAGCCTCGACTGTTTCAACTTCTTTCCACTGTTCAATAATGTGGTTTCAATATTATATAGTTTACTGAGTCCCAATTTTTTTGGCAATCTAGACAGTGGTGTACATTCAATTTCATCATTATTATTCAAAATATTTGAACACTGATTTTCTTTGGTTTCAACAGATGTAGAAAGATCTTCATCAGAACTATTTGCCAAAATGATAATATTTTCTCTAAGTGGAATAGATGTATCGATCTCATCAGTATCATCCAAAATGGAACGGCCAGGTGTAATACTATTCTTCTTAGGCTTATGTCTTCTTATAAGTACTGGACTATGCAATAATTTGTTATGACCAAACTTATCATCAGCTAGAATTGTTTCATTTGAACCCAATGTATTATCCAAATTATATGTAGTTGAATTCTTGGATAATTGACTTGTTTGATTACTGTATACATCTATACAACTTTCAGCTTTCGGTAATACACTAAAATATCAATAAGGAAAATTATAATACTTATTTTATAAATGTAGAGTATCAAATAATGAAGGCAAAAACTCACATATTGCTATTATCACTTTTAGATTTAAACACTTGAAATGGAATTTTTACACCAGCATTTTCGCAATATTTTTGCAATTTAATATACTCAATCCATAATTCTGGAAGCATAAGAAAAATTTATGATTCAAATGTACTGAAATATGTAGGCATAATTTCACTGATAGATTCAGTTATATCTGAAACTAATATGAACATACTAAACTGATTTAAACACATATATTCCAAAAGATTTCTTATACAACACACATTGCTTATAACAAGCTCATAGGCAATATATAAAAATATATAAACATATATATATAAACACAAAATCTCGACTGTAAGTCATAAAAAAAACAAAGTCAGGTGTAGCTAACGTTTATAAGAACTTTTTGTCTTGTTATAGTTTGTTAAATTCATCAGAGCAGTTACACTAACAGATTTTGATACAGTTTATCTATAAAGTGGAAAAAAGGAATAAAACATAACAGACTGATACTTAATTATCTATGAAAATCGAAACTTATCTATAAATAATCGACGATGAACGTACATCCAAAACACATATTATTAATAGAGCAACAACAACAATTACATATACTTACTTTTATATTGTTCGAACGCGTCCCCGAGAATTCCGGCAAAATTCTTGGTTGCATTTCGTACGTCTTCGTTCTCTGTACAATAGTGAAATTGTAGAACATCTGAGGTAGCCATCGGTAAAGTAGACGAGGTTAGGTATTTGTTTTTTTGCGAACAACTCGACACCTCGCCTGTATTTTTCACTTTGCATTAATTAATGTGCTGCATATTTTTATTGTGCATACCAGTTATCACACCGAACATAGAAACGAACAAATTCAATAAAGGAAAAGATTTATTATTCATTCCCACAATGTCGTACTCTTGATATCACTTTTCACCGTAGGAAGCACGGTCGCGTTGTCTCCTTTCGAATCATACGATCCGCCATAATAACGTCACAGATTGTATACGTCTTGCCGGCAGAGAAGCACACGTCCTAACCTCACTTTCACAGTGTACACATTTTCTTGGGATCACGTCAATCTGAAACGTTCGTGAAAATTGTATTAATATTTTTCATTCATCGACATTACCTTTTCTTCAAGAAGTTAATAAATAATTTTCTGTCTAAATATCCTTTTGATATGCAGATTTGCTTCTAATTTACGTAATTTTGTAAATACCTAACCAATAAGAACTAACTAATATAATTTATTTCGAGCCATTTTCGCCTGGAATAATTTGAACAATTTCTTTTACTAAAAACGTTATCCCGATCTGAAAGAATTCTCCTACATTCATGTACTTTTGTTTCTTTATTATATCTCGATCATGTTATGTACATTACATCCTGTAAATATTTGCATAATAAATAAACGTTAACATCTTATATAAAAAGAAAAAAAGTCTTATGCAATAAATATTCAGAATGCATCCGACCTTCGAATTTCTTATGGAATAGCTCCATTTCTTTTTCCATGCCTTTTGATCATGAACTCATTCAGTGTAAGTTTGTCGCATGACATAAAATTTCTATGCGTAACAAATTCATTAAAAGGAACTATATTTTAAAAAAATAAAGAGATAGAGATAAAAATGTCTGCATGGGCAGATATTTTGTTTAACATTTTTTTAAATGCACATACATTTTACATGTGCTCTCATGTATCTACATCAATATATGTATATATATATTTATATATATATTAAATATTTCTTAAGTGCAAAAAATAAATCTACGTTTAAAAAAACAAGAAGAAAGTTGAAACCTTTAAAGCCTCTCTTATCTCGTTTATCGCATGTGTGTGCACTATAAAGAGCGTTATTCGTACTATTAAAGATACAAGTACCGTATTAAGTAACTGGTCTGATATTAATAATATATCAATTATATACAAGTTATACACCGAATGTGCACTTACAGTTACGAATAGGTAGCAGAGTCTATAAACAACTTGGATGCAGTTGTACTTCCTTGCCTAGTTAATTTAAAAAATAGTAATTTAGACCTTTTGTCAACTTTATACAAAACATTGTTTCAAATGCTGTAATGAGTCCATATATGTACAAATTATTATGAGCTGAATGCTGACTGAGAGGAAGTCGAGGGCAGGAAAAGGTTCTGCATCAGGCTGGATGCCGGTTTACCTGGGGGTCGGGTGATAGCAGGGGAAGGATTGTATGTTTCCAAACCATAGCGCGACATAAGCGCCAATAATGCACTGCGAACACCAGCTGTAGCCAACTGTGACCACCTTCCAGAGCTCATTGCATCATCACCAGCATAAACTGCATGCGCATCAAAATTTCCTGATTGGGAAGTATTCGTATCTGAAAAATATAATTTACAATCATGGTACATTATGTACAATAAGGACAAAATAAACACAATGAAATTTACCTAAAGATGGTGGATTCAATACAGGAAGATGAGATTCTAGTTGTCCACTTGGTCTTGAATTTGCTGCCAGCCGTAGTTCAGTATGCAATTCTCCTAACAACTGTACTACTTTAGGGTCACTCTGTGAAAGCACGAATTAAAATAACATTAAAGTCGAAGAAGAAAAACTTATTTTTCTGAACTAGATCAAGTATCTTCTTCTATACGATATTATGTAACAGAATATAGAAGCAAGATAATAGAGTAAAAACTGACTAAAATCATTTACCTCATTGTCTGATCGAAGTGACATGAGATCATCAACACGAATTGGTTTTCCCTGATTTAAGGCATTTGTGAGAATACTTAATTTTCGGGCAAGGCTATCTTCGGCGCACAGTTCTGTCAAATGAGAGCTTGCGTCTCCTTTGTGTCGTGGTTTAACAGGTGGAGGACTGGCATAATAATATGACGAAGGTGAAACCATGAACGGCCCACTCTGATTAAACAAATTATCTCCCCCATAATGAGATTCCGTACCAAGTCGATTTGGATGGGAATTGTAGCCTGCTTCCATTTTTAAACGTTTGGAAGATCTGAAATCAAGTCAAACAACATTTTACCAATTATTGAAATGAATCTCTGTGAAATTTATTAAATGCAGAACACATCTTATTTATATTAAAAACACATATAGTTAGTATTTATATTTAGTAATCAATATTATAAACATAAATTTGTCACTGCAAAGGATATTAATTTTAACAAATATTTTTATATTGCTACAAATTTATACGATCACTGATTTATATTTTATGTTGAAGTACATCATCCAAAAAATAACGTTAGATTATAGATAATTTGAGATCATGCTATTATATTTAGAGCTAAAATTATATCAATAATCATATAAGATTTTATAAAATAGTACAATTAACCGTGTATCACATGAATGCAATATTATGAATGGTGATGCACAAATACCCCAATAACAACACTTATTCGATGATTAACAAAGGCCATGCAAATGGAACTTGTCTTGTAAATGTGCATATTCAAAAAGCAAGACTAATAAACCAATATTTTTCATATGGATGTACATGCAATTTAATAGGCACAGCATAACAATTTTTATTTATAATTCGTAATTTTATTTTTCACAATTCATTGCGTATACTTATCATTTAGACCTCAATGAGTGAAACAGTTTGACAAAGAATTTCATAAGGGATCAAAAGTATTAAGGGGCTTAATATAACAAGCCTTGAGTTTGATATATCTTCAACCCTTCCATACAAAATGGTCAAGCACTTTATTTTTAGTCAAAAAGCCCAAGCAAATGAATTTGTTATATGATACACAAAACCAACTCTGATGTGAATTATTAAACTGGA